TTCACGTCTGTCCATGGAATTGGACCCGACACGTTAAATCTGCCCAATAAATGCTAAACAAAGTTGTGTCAAAATAGCATTCAGCTCTATGCAGTGGATCAACTTCACTTTGGACACAACTAACATATCTTAAGTTCTATGCATTGAAGCATCAAAGGTTGGACCATACGGACGACGATAGCCTTGGCTGCTTTCGAGGATCCAAATAGAACAAAACGCTAGCTACCAGATTAAGACGCGGATACGATATTATGTGGACGAGTAAAATACGGTGTATCGTTTCATTCACACAGTCAAGGTCGTTTGCTTGAGCGTTGAAAGGTCCAGCATTTTGTGCATCTCTCAATTAACGTAAAACAATTTGTACTTATGACCTTTTAGGTATACAGCGTGCCTTTGAAAATAACTAGCATTCTATTCAAAATAAGTGAAATGGGATGAACCTATTTTGACCATTGTGTTAAACTGCCATTGCCCGAAAGCGTCGCTGCATTTGTACTTTATATTTGTTATTATAGCGAACAAAAGCAAAAGGGGCAAATGTCATATTTATTAGTGGGTACCTTTTACGCTGCGAGAAGATTGCAGCTTTTCTTCTAACTTGCATCGTAGTTATTTTTGTTGCTAAAGTGAGAACTGTAGTAAAGGTTAGTCCGATTGGTTCTTCCTTAGCTTATGGGGCGTTGTAGCATGATTAGCGGGTTATATTTCTGCAATATTGTTCTATATAATCGATTTTTGGCCGAACGAAGCATTGCGTGACAGTCAAATAGTCCCTTGTATAAATCAGCTTTAGTCTCGATTGGCGAATAGTGCGCAATCATTTTCTCATATAATAAGAAAGATGGACAGACCTGGTGGGTAAATGGATAATTTACCAGAGAATTTGTTCATCGGTATTTCTTTACATCACTATATTATTGGTATATTGCGTAATTTTTCACGGCCGAGAAATTGGGGATACGATATTTTGTTTGTGACGCCATGCACGTAATCTTTTCGGGCAGCCCTTCGTTAGTTCAAGAAATGCGAGAGTCCATCCAGGGATAGAGAGAACGTGTGACGGAAAACTATCGACAGGTGTAGAGAAAGAAAGAGATTCAACCGTTTGCGCATGCAGGTAGAGATAGCACCAGGTTTCTAACTGCGTTTATTTGAGAACTTCGCCTCAAATTACGCGATTGTGTTACATGGGTAGTATGGACTTTGCGTTTATCATTTGAAGACGAAGTTTATCATTTAACCTCTATATTCGATAGAAAAAGAAAGTCTCTTGATTAGCTTAGCTTTTATATCGTTTCCGGGATGCTTAAATCTTGTTTTTTTTTCATGCTTTTAGATCTGTAATTCTTCAGATCGTTCGAGTGATAAGCGATATTTTAGTCTGTTTTCCCGAACCTCCTAGAGGAAACACGCTCCAAGTATGTATCATTGACAATATGAGGCCAATTCAATAATATGTTCTAGTCCATGCAGTTTAGGCTTACGGGACAAGCATTTTATAGAGGCCGAATCCTTCCTGATCTGTCTGTTCACGAACATTGAGCCTAATTTCTTTTTGATCATGCTCGAATTTGTACGTGAAGCCAGGACGAGTACTTCCTCGAGTGATCATCACATCAGCTAATGTTTAAAACGCATCCTTTTGTGAATGCGCTCTGGTGAATTATGACAAAAGCGGAGCAAATCCTCGGCCACTGCAAAAATTTCTAAGTAGAACTTTTTGGAATCATTTTGGCTCTTAGGGGCTTGCTTAAGGTTTGGAAGGCAAGTCCATAACTTTAAGTCAATTGCGGATAAGTTTAGGTCATTCAGCCGTTCAGCATCTCATACACATACCCACTGGCCAGCTCATTGAAAAGCTATTTTATGTCTTTCCTTAGATGTGTATGCTGCCAGTCGAGAAGGAGTGGATATTACATATACATACGGCATGATTTTACTAAAATAAGCCTATGACAATCAATTCCGATGTATTGTGTGCTGTCTTAATTTTCTAACATGAGGTTTGTTTCTTTACGGAATTGACCCGCTTCCCTTACAGGTTTCGAATCTTCGAGAAAAAAATAACTTAGCCAAATTTAAGTATTCCGATAACCAACTTTCGGTCACACAGGCAGTTTCAGTGTCTTTATTCTTTGATAACATGCGTCACACTTTGCTAAGGAGCAGCGATTAATAACATACATTTCAATTTAGCTTTAACCGCATTTCTATGGTACAGGTTGGTACGGCTGAAACTGATATTTCTACAAGGGAATAATTATTAATGGAGAACATGAACTTCTACAGGTTGTGTCAAATATTGTATAAAATTCAGGAGTCAATCAAGATAACTTTTCTATTCTATATTGCGGATTTTCCTTATTGGCTCAGAAAGCTCCTTTCGATAGACATGTTATGACCGGCAATGTATGCTATGTGCGATCAATTTTATGCGTTCATAGCCTTCGTGGAGACAGTGAACTTGTGCTATGCGAAGCCGTTTAACAATAACTGATCCTGACATGAATCTGATCTTCGACTGTATTCCTCATGCTCTAGCCGTAGTCTATCGTTTTATTCTAGAGAAACTGATTCCTTTTTGGCACCGAAAATAAGGGATAAGATTGTGCACGGGAGGGCGAACAACGCGCCAGAACGCATCTCGTTTTGTCCCAGACATCTTGTATAACTTGGTTTGAGTCCGTGCGGCGAAAGAGTCCACATACAGCTGTTTCGCTGCCATGTATGTTTCCATGGAAATAGCCGCCTTCTCAATAACCTTTTTCTGCCCGTCAGCGCCCCTTTTCCCATGATGTTGTCAATGCCTTCCTTGAAAGTCGGCAAAGTCTCTGCTATATATTCATTTACAGCCCACGAAGCATCTTGACTATATTTGTCTCCATTTTTCCTGCGACAATTTCAAACAATGAAGGGTCTGATATATAATAAGAGGCTTTTTTCTTTTAATTTGCCCGTCCTAGAGTTCAAACCTCGACCTTTCTGAAGAACCTTTACGCTTTATATTGTTTTAAGACACATAATACAATAGGGGAAACCGAACAAACACAGAGAGTCTGAATAGAGCTTACAATGTTTACTCGAAGCTCCATGTCTGGAGCGCGCAACGCGACCTTACCAAACAAGCGATACGCCGTATACGACACATGTACGCCTATTTCCGAATATCAGTTATTAATATTACTACTATAATTTTTATTATTTTTTTTCATTGATATTATCGAGACCATGGAAAATCGCAATGCATGTCGCTGGCATTGCACGTAAGTATCATCAAATCGTACACTAGCCTGGAACGATTCGAAAAAACATACATATCTCATAGATAGAGCGGGGCAGTATAACGTTAAAAAAAACCAATCTATCAATTTCGTAACGCCGCACAGAAGAAACCGACAAGTATAGAGAAAGGTATTCATAGACCTAAAACTTGTCGGCTACCCCTGGAAGGTACAAAATATCCCACGTCAATCTCGGGAGTATGGTAGAAGACTTTTGTGCTCGTCTCGTTCGATTATAATAGCAGTAGCGAATGCAGGTTGCATTCGATCAAGCAGTCGTGCGTGAAATTGCGCACGCGATAGGCGTAGCTTCTTCGCACATACCTGCAGCGAACCAATAGATGCGCTATCGTCGATAGTTTCTTTGAGAGGTGTGCATCCTAGAACTAAAAAAACCACCATTTGTCAGTCGGGATCCTTCGTGTGTGGACAATAAGGCTAGAATAAAACAGATAGGTAAGATATGCAACGTACTGTGTCTAAGTAATTCAGTTGATATTATGATCAGCTCAATATATTTTAAACAGGTCATCTTTATGATTGTTATCATCTTAATTATTGCCGTTGTAGTGTGGGTGGAAAGGCTAGTAAGGCCAGCGAGCGCCGTTGCAGTACACCGGTATTTTCCATTCGTTGATCAGAGTAATCCGAGGCGCTTAGCTTCTTGACAGACGAAATTTGGCGTTTCTCTATATAAAACGGTTGTTGCAGAACGACATCAACAATGGAGCTTAAGTCTCATCATTAAAAGTGAGTCCCTACGTAAACAATTCACGGCTACTTTCAGCTCAACGTTGATACAATGCAGCTTCATATACATGTAGACATGTTCGTCTATAGAGATTTATGATGGGAGACAGCCGAATAGGGCGAATCTGAATTAGCGGAAGTTTTCGGATTTCCAGAGCATCTTATCTAGTTCAGCTCGTGTCTAGCTTCCTGCTTAACTAAATGGGGCGTAGCGCTATGGCCACATCCCGACACCTTCCGATACGACTATTTATCCGCATTACGAAAATTTACCTGTCTACTAAAAATGACAGAAATTACTTCTTTCGGAATGATATATTTTATGGATTCGATTCTCTACTTCTGTTTTTTCTGCCTCAACATGATTGCGGTCACCTAGAAGGCAAACGGTAGACAAATATACACTTTAAAAAAAAGGTAAGTTATACAACAATACGCTATGCCATGGAATTCAAAAAGGCAACCTCTAGTTCTCATAGCCACTGCCTCCTCAGCCAAAATGGCAACGCAAACTGTCGTCGTATAAAGTACCATTAGAAATAGAAAATTAGGCAAACAGGACTTTGCCCAACTATTTTAAAGGCTTCGATCAATAACCTTATCTATACATAAATATCATACTCTAAAGGCACATCGGAACGATAACCGCTAACGTTATGCAAGTATCTCATTTGATTGACCCTAAACTAAATTACCCCGCCTAAAGTACGAATCCATTATTCTTTTGATACACTCTGAAATCACTGAAAAAACAATTAAGTTGAAATACTATAATAAAAAAAAAAAAAAAAAAAAAGTAACTAAGACTCACGGTACAAGTATAGTACTATACGACTTAATCACAAAGTTAATTTTCAACTCAACCTATGCACGCACACACCGAGAAAGCTAACCAAACGTTTATTACATATAATCGATAATAAGACTGTAATTACTCCTCCGAAGTGCAATATATTAGCCCCCGGTTGTTTTATTTGTTTTTAAGATGTTATTTTTCACATTTTTTAGCTCTTCGCTTCGGACCGCACTTTGTTTGTCTTCATGATAGAGCAAAAACGTGCATAATAAAAAGTATATACATGTTGATTTACATTAATTAATCAAAAGCTCTGTAGTTTGGTTTCTTCAGATAACGCTGGGATGGCACAATGGACACATCTCTGTGCCAAACACTATTCCCAATTCACATCTAACCTTTTTAGATCTATAAACAGGTCGACTTAGGTGGCAGATAATACGAAGCCTATTGGAATGAAGTAGTAAAATTGTGCTGATAATGTTTAGTTTAAATCTTTCCTATTCTGCAATTTTTCTTATATGTGGGTGGGTTTTATCAAGTGGGTTACAAAGGGTTAGTTTATTTCAGCATATTATCCATATAATTTCAAATACAGTCTCACCAAGTTTCACACATATAACATACGCAATGCATACGGAATATTACAACTGGACAATCAGGACACTCCCGAAGTGCTCTGGGGGGTTTTCACAATACCGTTTGCTTCGTTGTCAACCTAACCTACCCTAACACACTGTCTGTACGAAAATGGTAAATTAAAGTGTATTGATATCTAAAGCGAGCAGTATCTCTTTCATCGAAGAAATTGACAGCTTATGAAGCACGAGTGTTGAGACCGCCCGCTGGCGACGTTAATCTTTCCTTTTATCGAAGATACAAATTAACTCTACCTAGCTTCATTTATTAATTAAGCTTATAATGTGGTGCGTAGCTCTTCTCCACGTGCATTGAGTATCACAGATAGCCATTAAAAGGTCAAACTTTCGCAACTTATAATTCCTTAGTGCTCTCTCTAGTACACGGTTTACCTATTATATTACACAGATTTTTACATAATATCCTCCCGGGTGATTATAGCATCTCTATTCGATTACATTTAAAAATCATCTGTGTACAGCTTACATTGCTATTGGTGCGTTGAAACCCAATTGACGTCACATTTCATTACATCATGACACGGGGCACATCCCATTAAATCTCAAAAATATGGGATAAATCAAAATACAGCTATTTCTTTTCCCCTTTTATCGATAGCGATGTGCACGTTGACCAAAATATATCTAGATGTTTGTCAAGCCCGTAGAACGCCTTGACCTTGACTGCATCATATGCCTCTACATCATCTACGAAAAATGAGACTCATAATACAATAATATCTGCAAGGTACAAGTACGTCGATCCATTTCGCTCGTCGAGTTATTGCGTCATGTGTTCGTCGTGGCCTCCTGTGTCATACTGGTCCTTGCTATATTTACGACTTTCGTCCTTGCTTGCATGCTTTTGACAGTCGCTAGACCGTTAACATTAACGCAATTACATTGAATGACTGTCGATATCAAAAGAACGACGGAAATTGGAATCTTCCTTCGTGGCTGGCACCTCCAAGTCTCTCAAGGACATCAGCCTTTAGGCTCAGTTTAGGGTAGATCACTTGGGCAGCTGCCCGGCCAGAAATAACTATAGCCTCCCGTAACATCGAGAATAGCGGGTGGATAGGCTGGAGATAGCTGCTGGTTTGGTCGATGCAGTAGCGTATTTTGCCGTTGTTCCTGCTTGTTATAAGGCGGTTCCTTGCGTTGTGATCCTAATAGCTGCCGGGATCGGTCGAATTGCGCTTGTCAGATATGTACGGCGACCGAATTGAGATCAGAGCGCACGACTTTGCGATGGCGTGCATCCGGCATCGAGTAGCGTAGTTTGTCCCAAAATTTCTTCTCACCCCAGTGCAAAAATGTGCTATGCTTGAGCCAGGTACGAATGTCGGGATCCAATTCACGATACGACACACGGCCGACAAAGATGACAACGAGCTTGTGATGTCTGTTGCTCAACACCTCCTGATAGGCAGACTTGAACTCGTAGCGGCACCACTCACTCTTAAGGAAGTGCTCGGATAGGATAACGATTGTTCTTCGAGAACTCTCGACTGCCTCCTGGATGGCCTCGTTTAGATAACCGCCAGCTATTGGCAGGTCACGGTAGTGTAGGCATAGGCGGTAAGGCGGGCTGCCGCACTCCAGCTCCGGAGCGAGTAATTGAGCTACAAAGGCTTCGTCCCTTTTGCTGTACGAAATGAACGCATCGAACAGCTTTTCTTCTTCGACAGGCGCACGATGAAACATGCGTAAACCGTAGCCGCTGAAAAACCAGAAGCGCACGAGGCTCACGATAATGATAATGAGAAGTACTGCGGAAACCCCAGCGAATACAGGCACATAATCCTCTATGCTGTTCAAATAAAATCGATGAACCAACGTTGGAGCGCTATGGCAGCTTGTCACATTGAGCTCCCATATGGGTAATATTCGCGTTTCGTTATACACACAGGACACTTGGAAGATGTCACGCACAGCTCCACCACGTTCTTGAAGGAACTGCGAAAGGTCCTGTGAGAAAGGGCAGTCGCACGTCCACGGATTTTGCGATAGGCGAAGATCAATCAAACGAGGGTTCAGCTGTAAACTAAACATCGAAATCTCAACAAGAGAATTGCGATCGAGGTAAAGAACTTCCAGATTTTTTAGATGTTTGAACGTCGCGTTGTTTATCGAATTTAGTTGATTGTTAGACAGGTACAGCTCCCTGAGCTGTGATAGGCCTTCGAATTCGTGGCCATGAAAAGCGAATATGTTGTTGTTTTCGAGACGTAATACACGCAGGCCGTGCAAGCCACTGAACGTGCGATTCTGTATAGTGACCACTTTCGAGTTGTTGAGAAATAGCACTCTTATACTGCTGCGACCAACCAACAAATGCGGGTTTAGTGTTTGAATGTCGTTGCCGTCAAGGTACACCTCACTTACATCCATGGGCAAACGTTGGGGGCCGTTGCTGTCCGGTCTACGTTGGGCGCTACAGTCGACAATATTGGTAACCCACGATTGGTCGTGATAGCAGGTACAATTATCGGGGCAGACCATTTCGCAGTCACATGCATCAAAGTCACAACAGTGGCACAACGAGAAGCAGTGACTTTTGTATTGACACAAGAACTGCGATGGCCGCAGCTTGACGAGAGGAAGCATTTGCGTGTTCTTGGCGAAACTTAATTTGCACTCGACATTGTGTAAATCGATAATGCGTGGATATTGACGGGAGTCCTCACTGCCCATCGACATAGGACCTTGCAGTCGTTGCAGCCATTCCATATGGCAATCACATAAATAGGGATTACCTCCTATGGAAAATTCGGGCAGCGGACGGCGTATCGGCACCTCACTGAGACGAAATGTGGTGACCTCAAGCACCCGGAGCTGGTTATTGGTTAAGTCAACGCGGGTAAGGTTCTGCTTTCCAAGAAACGTGAATGGTTGAATTATCTTTAAATTGTTATTCTTCAGAAAAACAATTTCGATACCATTGGGTAATGATGATGAGTCGAGATCCGTTAGTTTGTTATATGAGGCATCGAGAGTGCGCAGCTTGAGGCTCTGTTCGAGTTCGAAGTAGTTGCCGAGAGCCTCAATCTGGTTAGCGTGAATGTCCAACCACTGAAGGCCTACTGGGATCAATGCATAGTCAAATGAACGCACCTTGTTCACAGAAATGTTCAACATAATGAGGTCGTGCAGGTTACTGAAGAGACCACTCACGTCGTCAATGACATTCGAATCCAATCGTAGGTAGTGGAGCCCGGAGACGTCATCAAACGTTGCTTGCTCAATTGTCTGAATGCCGTTTCGGGCTAGATTGAGGATGCGCACCGAGGCCAGGTTGCTCAAAGCCCCCTGGCTAATACTACCGATTTTGTTTCCCATTAAGTTAAGTGCATACAGCTGAGTAAGACCCTGGTACGAAGCATTGGTCACATCGTGAATTTCATTTTCAGACAAATCTAACGAACGTAACATTTTCAGCGATGATACAGCAACAGGAACACTGCTTAGACGATTTCCAGCCAGGTTAAGCTCTTGAAGCATCGAGATATTTCGCATCGCATTGGGCTGGATCGTCGTGATACGATTATAGTCTAATTGGAGCGTCATCACTGATTTGAGCCCGACCATCATCAAAGCGTTTAAGCTCTTCAGCCGATTATAGCTTAGTACTAGTGTTTGAAGGTTTTCGAGCGCCGCGAACGTGTTATCACCAATATGGTCGATTAAATTGTTTTGAAGCTGAATTGTCTGCACGTTGACGAGAGCGCGCAAATCACTGGAATCAAGGCGAGTTATCCGATTGTAGCTGAGGTCGACTACACTGAGGAGAGAGAGACTGGTTGGAGCTTCGGGTCTTAACCATTCAAGTGTAGAGAGTTGATTGTGGGCCAAATCGAGTACGGTCAATACTCTGAGTCCTGAAAAAAGCCTAGGTGGAAGTGCGCTTAAGCTATTGTTGCGCAAATAGAGTTCCGACAGTTTAGGCGTAGTCTGAAATAGCTTTGAGGGCAGAGCAATGAGTGTGTTATGAGCAATATCTAAACGCTCCAGCTCCGTGAGGCCTGCCAAAGCCGTCGGCTCGACCCTAGCAATATTATTGTGTTCTAAGCGTAACTCTTCCAATCGGATGAGTGATGCGAACGAATACTCCGATAGAACCTGAAATTTGTTGTGGGCTAATTCCAGTTCACGCAACGCAGGACTACATCGCGACTCGACGGAGAAACCCGTATCGAGTACATTCGTGAAGGCGTTCCTCGAAAGGTTAACGAATCGAAGATGTTTGAGTCCGCAGAAGACAGAATGTGGCAACGACTCAATATTATTCTCGGCGAGATCCAACGACTCAACAATCTTGAGCGGTCGGAAGCTCATTGGCTGGATACGCAAAGTCGAATGTCCTCTATCCGTATTGTACGTCTTCAGTGTAAGACGCTTCAAACCGACGAGGCCGTGAAAGGCTGTCAGCGGCACTCGGTTGAGTTTACAATATTCGATACGAAGCGATCGCAGACCGCGCAAATGTTCGAATGAATTATTCGCTAGATCACTTTGAAGCATGACGTTATTGCAAAGAATTGTCAAGTAGGTTGTATGTCCTGACAGGATCAGGGAAAAATTTGTGGGGTTAGGTCCGTCCTGTAATGTACCAATGCTGCACGTCATTGAAACGCCAGTCGTGTCGGGCATAGGCTCCCACGTGCAATCCTCGGGTCGAACATAGCGTCCGTCGACGAAAACCGCTTGCAGCGTGACCCGCATAACGACGAAACACGTAATTATAGTCGATATGGCCGGGCTCGCGCCGAGGCGAAAAGCATCCATTTTGAAAACTTATTAATTTTATAATTAGGCGTTGAACACAATATACTTTGTTGTTGCCCTTTGCTAAAGGAACCTCTCTGTCCATGTCATCCTGCAGAAACATCCGTCGACGACAGCGGTATCGCAAACAGTATCAGCATGACTGAATATTACGCAGTCATTAAAATTGGACGAACTATCACTACAGAATGATCACTGTTTAGTTAATTCTAGTAGCTTAACAACCTTTGCACATTATAACAGCAGTAAATTTGCTAAATTTAAGTCAGCGGGAATTTTCTTATTATCCTCATGTTGAGCTCGATCCTGTAATGCCACTAGCACATGCTTTCACGAGAAACATCGAAGAACTAAAGCAATCACACCCGTTCTCCGTACGGCACAGAGAGCTTTTGAGAACGTTGTCACCCTCTCCTAAGGGGAAAGGGTTTTGCACGGGGAAAGAGAGTAAGAGTCGTTTGGAAGGAGCAGCGACAATTACAGAGAAGACCTTTATGTAGCGATACTTTTACGATGGCTACTTCCCTGAAGTATAAACGGTAGCTCTATCGAATCCGCATATATAAAATAAAGTAAATATAATTACTGTACCAAACCATAACATAAAGCAAGACACGATATTTGGGGCTGTTACACTTGATTTGCCCTCGTATGCATCTTACTTTAATTTCTGTTTATTATAGTGTCTGAACTAGTGGACATATCGTACGTAACTTAAATAAAGCATGTAAAAACTTATGTGCTTTAGATTGTATAAGGATAGTTTAACAATTCAACGATAGCCAACAGAACCCCTTTTCATGAACTGGACATTTTCTGTAAGACATCTGTTGTGTATATCAAGTAGGTGAGAAGCAAAAATGGCTAACTTCAACTCTCCTCAAAACGATGCTTTTTTCTTTTCTAAGTACCGCGATCTCTGTCGTTCTAGGAGTATGCAATGTATATTCTTCTTTTTGCACGCTGACACGGAAATATTTTTTGTATCAGCAATTCGTACATAAAGTTAAGCATATACGATCCGATTACATTCAAGGTAAACAATACAAGTCCGGTTGCATAGGATTTTTTGTTGTTAAAGCGAATTCGTTTGTGTCGGACTTTCACACATCGGCAAAAATCACTCTTTCATGGCTGACGCCATGCTTACCAACAAAGAAATTCAAATACAATAAACACTAGATAAAATAGCATCTTGAAAATGGGTCACTTCCATTACGCAGTAAAACTTAGCTGCGAAACACGCTTAAATGCAACCCACTTAATAGTAAGTTGACCAAACGAAATGTTATATACCCCATTGCATTGACATCAGTCAACATATGAAAGTGTCGTAATTAAACATATGATATTATTTCGAATGTTGCAGTCAAATACTATAAAATGTATCAGCTACAAGTCACATTCGTTTCGGAGAAAAGCTTACTCTTTCAGTGCTTTTTTTTCTCGATCTTGTTTAGCCTCACTTCTAAGCATTTATCACCGTTTTGTCGAGCTCTAATCAGCGTCTTTCTTTTACCTGCAGTAGCCCACAAAATATGTACCTTCCTCTCTGTGACGTTACTAGTTTGATTAGAGGAATTGATTAGAGCCAAAAACGAATCGCAGACAACCGATCTAAGCTCGTGGTCCCTGAACGTGCGTCCACCTCGGGAAAACGCGATTGTTCTTGTCCGGCCAACGACCCGTTCGGTGGACATACAAAGCTCGATATAAATCAAACACAATTGTCATTTGATGTCAAATCAGACCAAAATTACCGCGGTCCAGGGTCGTAAACGTGCGTGCGTCGTCGAAGCCACTTAGCTATACAACAGCTGCCGCCGGCTATTTGCGCCAGTAATGTTATCGTCACCTATAATCGGAGTAAAAATCACCTTTTCAAAACTGCTGATTTTGATTGATACCTGTTAAGATACCTTCAACGCCGTGGGTTGACGTAATGATGTTGCTGTCTTCATAGATATAGAGTGCCGAAGGACCAAGCGACGATACTGAACAAACGGCAAGACCAGGTAAATCGATCAAACGATCCTATACGCCTTAACACGACTGTTATAGTTTACGTGGGCCCAAAATGTGCGCACCGTATTCAAAGTGAAAATATCCCTATAGGTGGCGCAAATGTTTCACAATTCCTGCAGTGACTCAGAATAATCCTGTGAGCCCTATTTGCTGCCCTTTGTTCATGGGAAATTTAGCTGCCGCTTTGGCGTGTCTTCGCGACGGGATTAGTATTCTAAGACGAAGTCTCACAGACTTCAAAGGAGCAAGCCTGTTTGTACAACGAGGTAAAAAAATTATGCGGAAGTGAATTGAAAACACAGGTTTACCCTTCGATGACCATTACGGAAAATAGACGTATACCAATTCACATAATTATACTTAAAGCTGTCTTCTTTCGAGTATACTAACTTCTAATGTTTGGAATTTTAAATTTAAAAACATTATGGAAATAATATGATGATTCGAGGTCGGAGGCGCCTAACTTCTAATACCGATTGTTCGGCAAAATTTCGCAACCTACAAATTAAGCAAAAATTGTCAGGGCATAAAGCTCATATGCGCGTCTGACTAGTTTACGTTAACCTGAGTAGTCGATTAGCTAAGCACTTCTAGGTTTTAATATTTTATACTGTTGGCTATCGATATATATTCTCCGCACTGCGTTTCCTTAACGCCAACCGATAACTTTTTTTACAGTCAAATATACATGTGTGATACGAGGCCACAGTAGCCTTAGCGATATTTTTGTCCTATATTTTCGTTTGCTAATGGCCATCTGTAGCTAGACCACATCCGGATGGACGTTTGAACTTGTAGAATTCAGCAGATCTCTTAAAACCACATCAGCTAGCGCAATATAAGTTATAGCGACTAGCCATTCGTGCGGTGAGCCGGGCGAAAAGACCAGAGTATTGATCAGAAAGGCTCTCTGTACAGAAACATAGCAATGGGATACATAGAAGACACAATCATCCATAGAACCGATAGGATTCACGAACGACAACAATTTTCGTTGTCGATTCGTGCTATAACTTTAGGCCCATTTCGACAGTGTCCGCCTCCGCCTATCTAATCCCGACCCGAATGGTTGCGTGGCCAGACACGTAGGGATTCATGGACTGAACCAAACGCAAAATAGTGCCAATTTGAAGCGACGACCTGTGTTCGAAAGCGACAGTTAGCGACAGAGTAAATGGCACCGACAAAAATCTAAGGGCTGATCGATGCCACTATCAGGGAGAAGTCGTTTACTATTCAATGACGACAGCATGAAAGGACAGAGAAAATACACTAGAACCAAAAGTAGCAGAACAGACTGGATGAGAAAGACCCGCCCGCGTCGATGTGACTTGAGTAAATCGGTTTCGCTGGAGGAGGCGCCCAGATAAAAAAAAATAAGTACTCTATTTGTGCATACAGGATAGAAAAGGCGTGGGACTCGAGCTTTTTCGTGGTTCAAATCTTAACCAGATATACACAGTGTGGTTTCGACCTTAATATGGAGAAATGAATAAGAAAACGACTTTAGCCTGTGACGATGAAGAGAAGTATCGCTTGAAATCTTGTTAAGTCTTCTCAGGTGATATAAAAGGCTCACGTACAGTATTCTAGAGGCAAAGGAACCGTGAGGGGATGCACGGGAGGGATTTTTTTGTGTCGAATAACTGGCACCGACAAACGTTTCCAGCTCCACTGATCTAGGTTTAGCTACCATAAACCTACGATTCAGCCTTCATTCTGTGCTCCGACTGGACATGTAGGCATGTACTTAAATAGTGTTGCAGGCTTCCGCAAGTGCATGAAATGATGGACGGAGATTTTAGGATTCCTAGAACGATTTACGCGTTGCCGTCTACGTTTGATCGTTAGCAATCGCAGCATAACGGGCGTATGTATGAGTCTGAAAATGGCGCTCATCTCAAACTTCAAACACTCGAAACATCCACGAGTCCATCTTCGAAACTAGGCTGGCAAGCAGTCCATCAACAATCGATACTATGGATCAGTAGTTACATTAGATCGATGTGATCTTATAGGCAATCCGGTAAAGAGTATATACGCCAGTAAGCTTAATGGCTAACATAGTTTTCCAACATGTACGCGAAAGACGTCCTCCCTTGTAGAGACGATTAGATAACAGCAGCCACATGCTATGTTTTGAGCTATTATAAACCCAGCAACCGCCTAATATGGCCGACAGATGATCGGCGCATAGACGCCATTAAATCTTATATGTGTTCATTAGTTTCATGCTATCTAATGCACTTACTGAATTGGTATGGAAATGAGCTAGAATTAAGACGGTAAAAATGTCTTGTGTTAGCATAAAGTCAATAAGATTTTTTACGTGTTTTCGTGCAAATATTGAAATTAGGGTCATTTGCTAAAGGTATGTCAAAGGTCCATATTCAAATATTGGGGTTCGACAGAGAGGAACCTTTTTGAAGATGACGGTCTCTATCCAATTTTGAACGAACAAAAATTCCGTCAATTAAAGACCGTCAGTTGGAACTGAAAATTGCACTCAACGCAAATTTTAAACAGTCGAAATATCCACGAGTAGAACGGCACAGCTGGAGTTCACGGCTGTCCTATAGGAGCCACTATAGCTCCTATGCGAAAGGTCAGAATAGCACCGATATCTGTTGTTCAGTAATATTTGCATTGAATAATACGACTCAAATGTTACATTAATGAGCATTAAAACTGGGAAAAAAATGTTTGTTAATGAAAACTAATTTAGGTGTGTGAAATACCATCAGCTATAACTAATTTTGTTTTTTTTTTAATATATTCATCTATGTATCATTTCTATATACTATATCTTTACAGACTCTACCTTCATTTCTAGTAATCGCAGAAAGTATGCATCCTAAGACTACCGTGCGTACTAATTATGGGAGTTCCTCTAGATCTGGACGAAAAACCTTGTGAAATAATAGCTTTCCTTTAGGATGAGCACGCTGCAAGTTGCAGGTCATGCCAATGCTCTTATCTGCTTCACTGGCCTATGGCTCTAACCAGCGGCGTCGTCTCTTTACGCCACTGTCTACTCTGCGGGGGTAGACAGGGGTATTGTAGCCGCAGTTCTTGCTTGTAACATGAAAGCGACTTGGCGAACTTGCGTGTTATACTAAGCACTGGCTGTGATGGTGTCACGGATATACGATCAACAAGGCTTAGGGTTCACACCCCACCTAATGAGCTTCGCCACTTTTCGTTGGGTGCCGCTCACAGACCTAGCGCAAGTCTCATGGTTTTCGTTGGCTCCGCGCATCATCTCG